TTTCATCAAACTGCACCCCATGCAATTCTGGATTCCCAGCCAGTCTCCTCTGAGTGGTCCTGTGCCGATTGGGGGGCAGGTCAGCTGTCCTTTCTGTGCTCCAGTGTTCCCCTGGTGGGCACGTCTCCCCCATCACCCGTGCTGCAAACACTTCCCATGGGATGGGCCCTGCGCTGATCCCTTGTGATGACTCACCGGCCTCTGAGTGACTCACTGGCCTCTGAGTGGCTCCTTTTTCCAGTTGTCTGTGGCCTTTAGCTCCAGTGTGGGTGCATGGGAACACTGTCAGTGGTCTTGCTGTCTTGGGCGCTGCCAAGGCTCTCTTCTCCCCTGCCGCCCCCAAGTAACTCCATCTGAAGGGCACAGCTGCAGCTTCTGCCAGCTCCTGCTTCATACGCTTGTCAGCTCCAGCCTTAAAGCAGCCGTGGCCCAAAACGCTCAAAGCAGCTTTTTCTTTCTCTCATCGTAGTTTCTCCTGCCGTCATGAACTCCATAGGTCTCTCCTCCCCATCTCCTGAGCTCCAGTGGCCCTGGTTTGGCTGATGTTACATTTTTATAGTTGTAAATTGGTTGATTTGTAGGAGAAAGTGACGCTGGGGACCGTCTATTCCGCTGTCTTGATTGGATCTCCGGTATATGAGTATTCACTGTAAAATTCTTTCAACTGTTCAGTATATTAGAAATTTTTGTAATAAAATGTTGGAAATAATTCCTACTAAGTTGAGTATACCATCCCACATCTAAGCATCCCTTCATCTCAGGAGGCATTAAAATAAGTGTAGAAATGAAAAAAAAAAAACCAACAAAAAATAAGTGTAAGCATGGGAAAATAGGACTTTAGCTAATATGGTACTACTAGATGTAAAGAAACAGTTTTTAATTTTTTTTAATAGGTTCTTTGAAACCTAATATAAGCATCAATGTATTTTCTGCATCACTTACCCAATAAGTGTAGGGAGTATAGAGTACAGAGAAGAAAAGATGGGGATAAAAACTCAGTTTACAACACACAGTAAATAGTATTTCGATAGGTTGGCCTAAATCTTTCAAAGGAAAGAAGAAACCAGCCATGTGCGATGCAGGCATTAGTAGAAATGTTTTGGAGCACTCAGTTACGATGGGTACACGCACAGGAAGTGTGGACAATTACTGAATACAATACACAGGAGAGGGAGGGGCCAAGGGGGCAGGGACGAAAGTCCAGGTTGAAGAGCCATGGAAAGAAAGCATAACTTTCTAAACTTTACCATCACAACCCTTTAGCACTGACTCTGCCTGTTAAACTTACCCAAAGGTAATCTCCATCAACCTTTACAGCAAACTTCAGTTTCCTCAGACGAATGAGAGTGGGAGGAGAGCCAGAAATGTCAGAAACACAGCAGACAACTCCAGCAATCTGTCCACAGAGCAACTCCTGTTGGTCAAGCAGGGTCTGTGGGTAAGGAGCACATTCCAGACTTGAACTCTTGTGTTATTCCTTAGAGCAAAGTAAAGCCTGCAGGCCAAATCCAGTCTATTGCCTGTTTTTATATGGCCCATGAGCTAAGAATGGTCTCTATATTTTTTAAGGGT